AAACCTCCTGGTATGATCAATATATGCGAATTAATTTTAAATCGACTTAAAAAATCATTGGTTTTTTTCTGTGTATGGTGTGGCATGCTTATAATCCCCTAACATGGGAAGTGAGCAGAAAAACCAATGATTGTAGAAGCCAGTCTTGGCTCTCTATTGAGTTTGTACTCAGTTTGGGATAAATAGAGAGATGCTGTCTCAAAAAAAAAAAATCACCCAACCAATCAACCAGCAAAACAGCACAAATGGAAACCTTCCTCTGTCCCTGGCTCAGACGCCCCGTGACGGATGGAAATGTAATCATGAAGTCATTGTTCTTTTGTGCTTGGCTCATTTCCCCAGCGTGATGTCATTGCTCCATTTTACCATTACACAGCTCTAAAGCAGTTGTAAAACCTTAAAATCAGCTTGACATGTTTAGTACAGATTTTTAGAGGCGTGGTAATGCAATAATAAATCATATTTTGATGTTATATCTTATAGTCAATTACTACGTGACCTTTCGTGATTCATGTATATTAAAGAATCCTGGCTGCACTGTTGATGGTGTTTGAATCCAGTTGGATTCAGAGCACTAACCCATAAACACTGTGTCACTCTAAATTTCTCTAAGTGAAACGATTGCTTTGAGAGTTCATCTTTGTCCATATGTTTTGATGTATGAAAAACCAACTTATTCTAACTGAAACTAATAATTCCATTCTCGTAGAATGATAAATTCATATTTATTATCCCTTGTGAAAGCCAATTTAATCTTCCATTTGGGGCCCATGCAATAACCAGTACCGGGCTCAGGTCATTTTCTAAAGAGTTTAGTCATGTGTGATTTCAGCATCCTGGCCTGTGGTTTTTCACAAGCAGTTCAAGCTCTGCAGAGAAAGGACTGGAGCCTGTCTGTATCTCCTGCCTTACAGAGAAAGAGAGGCAGGTGTGTGGGGAGGAGGGAGAGGGGAGGGGGGAGGGGGGAGAGGGGAGGGGGTAAGAGATTGATTTTTGTCTTCTTGTCAATCCTGACTTTCAGGATCTCTGGTTGAGTCAAATCCATGTGGAAAATGGCGCTTCATCGACTCTGCTTTCTCACCTTCCCTTCTCTCCCTTTACTGCCATGCTCTGTTGTTTCTCATTGATCCCTGGTTTGTGGGGAGTCAGCCTTAAGTGGAGGCTTCTTCTCTGCAGGCCGACGTGGACACTGATACCCTCCACAGACCTGGTATCGGGTGTAGTGACCCTGTGCAGGTCTGGACCGCACCGAAGCTCATCAGGAGAACTGAGAGCAACCATGTGAGAAGCACGTGCCATGCAGAACTCTCAGATTTCATTGGAAAGAAATGAAGAAAGGGAATGCTCTTTCTGTAATCGCTCTCTTGGGAGAATATCCCAAATCAGTAGCATCTTGTAAGTATATGTGTGAGCAAGGGCAGCTCAAGAGTGTCCTAGGAAGCAGATCTTATTGTTTTGGGGAGAAATGTATAGGAGCCAAGAAAAGTAATGCAAAAGAAAACGCTCACTTTATATTAGTACAGAGATTTTTAAAATATGCAAAAAAATGAGTGAAGGCCATTAATGGAAAGACAGCTACCACGCAGAGGAACGTGTTAGAGCAAGGGAAACTGTTTATAGCTAATGCTTACAATGACCCGGCACCGAGTACTTGGAATAGAAATAAAACAAATAAGATATGGAGGTTCAGGAGATGTTGTGGAGGTGAAAAGCACCTTTCCCTGGGGAAGAAGGAAGAAGAAGAATAAAATCAGGAAAAGACAATGGCCTGTGACCAGAAAATGGTAGTGTTCTTTCTGTTCCCCAAGGACTTCAATGGGTGAATGGATGAACCAATGAAATGTATGTTTGACCATCACACACTTCGGAAATGTGTACTTGGAGATGCGTGTAACTGGCTCTAGTCACCTGCAATGTGTTCAAATGGAGAGACAAAGATGCTGAGAGAAAAATCTCTGCTGCTTAATTTGGAGGGCAGAGCACTGGAAACAGTAGGAGCCTTCTATAAACATCAGAACAGACATGACAGCCATGATTCCCTACTCAACATGGCATGGCCATACGGTCTAACATAAAACACTAAGTATTCGACGTTCTCCAACATCTCCATTTCCTCTTTTCTTGCCTTTCTAGGAGTCTAAGGAAAGACTTAACCTACAGCACAACAAAATAATTCTGATAATCAGATACACATATGATCAAAAAGATGGGGACCTTGGTTGCTAAGAAGGCTGTAAGAGCTCAGTCTGTCCTGATAGAAGAAAGAGAGCAGACAAAGCCACCCCCTGCTCCTGGCCTTGCATCTCATTTCCATCTGTGGAGAGGGGAGGGGTAGGGGTGACGATGGATGGAGAATCCTGAGGATTGTGATTCCCAGGAAGGAAGATTTCATGGGCCAGAACTGGGCTTCTTACGAATTTGGGAGAATGCTGTGAGGGGTTGAACCGTCCCTGCTTTCACCATGCCCCAGTGAAGCTCTGACCTCCACTGCCTCGGAGAGCGGCCTCCCTGGGAAGCCAGGTAGCTGCTGATGGGATTAGTTTAGATCAAGTCCTGCTGCTCGGAGGCGGACCCTATCCAGTGTAATTATCGTCCTTGTCAGAGGTGACTGGGTGCAGACAGAAGCACAGAGAAGGTCACGTGACCCCAGGGACAGACTAGACATGGGCAGCTCAGAAAACCCCGGGGAGCCTGGGAGAGGAAGAAACAGTGGAAACACACCTATGCACAGCTCACCTCGTAGCTGTAAGACTCTACCTCTGGTTTGTTGTGATGTCATCTTTACTGTACATTTTTAGATCAGGACAAGTAAATAATATAGCATAAGGTAAAAGCAAATTAGGCCGGTAGCATTTATTCTTGGATTTCTAAGAAGGAATTAAGAACTAGTAAGCAGAAATAAAATGGAACAGATTTCAACTCAGCATGAACAAGAACTTGCCAGCAGCTAAAGCTATCAGAAAATGAACTCAAGGACTTCAGAAAGTCATGTATTCTCTGGCATAGTAGATGATTGGAAAGGGTAAATCAGTGATTTGGCAGAGGTGATCATTCATACATCAGATAATAGGTTAGGTGGAATCATTTCCAACTTAAAAGTTGTTGCTGTGTTACAGGCCTACAATACAGACTGTAGCACTGTTTATATTGTCTGCTTCAACCAAGAGTGCAGGAAAAGGACATCGGAGAAGGGTAACATTCTAATATCACTTCTAGCCTTCATTCATTGTTTTCTATCCATACTTTGCACCAATTAGAAGGTATAGTCATGGCATTCCCTTCATGTGCTGCCTCCGGTAGAGCAGCTGATAGTTTTAAGTTTGTGGAGCCGCGTATGGTGGCAGCGATTGAGAGTCTGTTGGACACACGTCTGCTTTGACACTGACTGAGCGCAACACCTCCGTGTTGCCCTCCCACCACTGCATTTCCTCAGCTCCAAAATGTGCACGGTCCAAAGCAAATCAGATCTAACCACTCCCTGAGATTTCTTCTCGATCTGTGGCATTTTCACCCTTTAGCTGAGTGGTGAGCAAGTTCCAGAAATGTGATATTCTTGACTGTTTTCTTATGGAACTATGAGAATGCATTTCCAGTGGTTAGGACAAGTGTGTGCATGTGGTGTGTGGGTGCATGTGTGTTTCAGTTGCTCGTTGGAGGTAGATTACTCAGCCGCAGCATTGTCCAGTGGAAGGCTGCCCGCGGGGTGCCCTGGCGAAGGCCGGCTGAGGCACCTGGCGTCACTCTGCTGAGTGAGAGGAAGAAGTGAAGTATTTAAAACTGAATTGCAGGAACGAAATATTTTAACTTGCCCTTCCCTGGCCGTCGATGGCCCAGTTTCAGCATTAAGAGCAGGAAACATCTTTTCCAGTACCCAAAACCCTAAATAAATGGTACCTAATTGTCTGGAGCCTTCTTTAGCCAGGGACTTAAATTTAACCAGGCGTTCTTTTATTTCTATGCACTGTAAGTCTCCTTACTGCTCACGCCATGGCTGGTGCCAGGTTCGTGGCAGCGAGCAGGGCCACAGCCCCGAGAGGACAGCAAGCCCGCCACTAGAAGCAGAGAGAGGTGAGGGCACGCTTCGCTCCAGCCCCTGCGCCTGTGTGTGTCATGGTGAACAGAGGCAGGCGGAGGGCAGGGGTGGGGAAGAAGATGTCCTGTCTGGAGAGCATGTCCGGGGGGATGGCCTTTAAATGAGGTCCGGGCCACAGGAGCGCTGTGAAGGTGTCACCAAGTCCCCTTCACTCGGGGGTGATGTAAAGGCCAGAGGCACACAGACAGGAGAGACGCGGGCATCCACAGAGGAAGCGGCTTTGCTACAGCCCCTCCTTTGTCATGAAAGAAGACAGCCGGTGTGGTGAGACGCTAAACCCCGGGCCAGTGAGCTCGTAGAGGGGCCTCAGCCACCTCCTCGTGACGTGCGGTGACGGCGTGTGACACCAGGGTCAGGGGTCAGAGCTCAGAGCTCGGCCGTGCTGTCACCCGTGTCGCATCGGCTTTGGACTTGCCCCGGGTGGGCCCCCAGTTGCTGGTTTGGGAAGACAGGAGGCCTTGTCTGTTAGAGGTCAGAAATGCAGGTGTGGGGAGCGGTGAGCATCGAGGTGGGGGTAGGGTGAGCAGCCCGGCTGTTCACATTGCTCCCTCCTCTTCGTCTCCCTCATCGACTCCCTGAGGTGTTTCTCCTCCACACCGGGGGACTAGAAAGATAAACCAGAGGTTGTTTGGGAAACTTCTGAGCCACACGCCTCCAACTCAAGTAAAAACAAACACAGCCCCAGAGGCTGATGGAGAGAGGTCTAGCAGAGTAGACAGAGGGAGCCCTGGCATCTCCGCAGCGTGCGCCAGGTGGATCGCGCGGGTCAGCAATGGAGATGCCCCGTGGCCTCACGGCCTTCGCTTCCGGGTCGGGTCACGACCCCTCGGTGCGATCTCGCCGGACGGCGCAGCCTCCTCCCTGGTCACCCCCCTTTGCTCATGGTGCATTCTTCCTTCTGAGCCAGTGTGCGTGGCGGTGTGGAAGAACCAGCACATGAGGACCGTCACCAACTACTTCATCGTCAACCTGTCCCTGGCCGACGTGCTGGTGACCATCACCTGCCTCCCGGCCACGCTGGTGGTGGACATCACCGAGACCTGGTTCTTCGGGCAGTCTCTCTGCAAGGTGATCCCCTACCTACAGGTAGGTCCTTGTGCCCAAACACAGGAAGTCCTGACATGTTACCTTCCACCGTGGTCTCAGCTCTCTGATACATTGATTACAAGGTTAAGAAACATATCTCTGCCTCACTGTTGGCAAAAGTACAGACACAAACACTTTGCTCTTCGCCCCTTTGGGAAGAACACTGATTTTAGTGAGATTATTTGCACGTGGTCATTCTGACAGTTTGTGAAGGAAATTTACATACATTCTTTGGCTCTGATGATATACATTTGCAATGAACATCGGAGATCAATAGGGTCATTAGCTGTTTTATTGGCCGAGAATAAAAGCACTCTTTCTGTATCTAATTGCTATATAAGAAACGAAGAGCAAGTGCTTTGAGAGAGTAATTCCAGAAATTATTTATAGTGATCTAAAACCTTAGAGAATGAAAAGGGATGGATGATTAGGGGGCCAGGCTCAAGCCCCTGAGAGACAGACTTCCTGGAAGAGCCAGTCAGAGTGGGCTGGCTCTCACTGTCATATTGTCCCCCTCCCTCCCCCCCCATCCTCACTCCCTCCCATCTCCCAGTGCCGAGTACAACATTCCCAGGCTGACCAAATAAGCTTCCATTATCAGAAAGAGAGAACTGGCCATGTTTAAGGTCAGAGGTTACGTGTGGAAGGGTGGGAATGCCGTGGAAGGTATAAGCCTCAGGCGTGCAAACGTGGTTTTTAACTGTAAGGTGAGCTTGGGTCTCCCAGCTGGAGGCCAGGAGTGTGGCCACAAATGAAGGTGGCAGATCTTAGAGAGAAGCAGTTCAAGGAAGAACCAGCAGATACATTCTTGTTGTTGTTTTTGTGTTTTTTGTTTTTTGGGTCCGGTCGTGGGGCCTGAACTCTGGGCCTGGGCGCTATCCCTCAGCTCTTCAGATCAAGGCTAGCACTCTACCACTTGAGCCACAGTGCCACTTCCAGCTTTTTTCATTTTGCTTATGTGGTGCTGAGGAATCGAACCCAGGGCCTCAGGCATACAAGGCAAGGGCTGTACCACTGAGCCACCTTCCCAGCCCCAGGAGACACATTCTTAAAAGCAGTTATAAATAGCGGCTCCCAGTAGCGTTTACATAGAGACATGGGGGAAACTGTAAGTCAGACAGTCGGATATTTTGCCAGTTCTGTGAGAATTCTAGCAAAGTCTATTTTCCTGGCTCCAATTATCCCCTGGTTGGAAATGCTAAGGATCATGTTAAGGTCCAAGATGGATCCAGTTGCCCCCAGTTACAACTGGCTGAGAATAGCTCCTGTTATCTGTGAACCAGAAACGTCAGAGCCACCATCTTGTTCAGATGCACAGCAAAGCCATGCTGATAAGCAAGTATCTGAGTCTCTTTGGAGCAAGTATCTTGGTCTCCTGTGAGCAACCAGGGACAACATGGCCACAGCATTGTGTAACCAGCAGACGGTGTAATGCGTGAGGCTATCTTAAATTCTTTCACACCATACGGCTTATTAAAAGCCCTACAGCCAAAGGGACATCTTCATCTCCAGAGAAATTCTGTCTGCATCTGCTTAAACAATACCCAGTCTAATTGACTCCATAGATTATTGCTCCTCCTCAGGCCAAGTGTAAAACTAATAAGCAAGCACAGAATGGAAAAGAATGGATCCATCCATTATCTTGCCCAATATTTCCTCTTGGTAGAAGGGTATAAATGCACGAGGAAATCCAGGCACTGGTAAATTATCCATACACATTGCTCCTTTTCCCTATAATTGAAATATATATTATGTAACACCCAGTCAAATTTTCAAGTTATCTTGGCATATTTAAAATTCTTTGAGCATTTGCTAGTTTGCTGTATTTTATGTGCTCTTTTTTTCTTCTAAATATAATGCAACCTTTAGATTTATGAGTGATACACTATAACATTCTGGCAAGTACCCAAACAACTTAAAAACTTCACAAATGAAATAAAGCCTAGCTGCAGAATGAAAATGACCCTTTTAGATCTTTAATAGTTCTATAATTCCAAGACCATTAACATTTATTAGACTATTAGCTGAATGATTGTCAGTATTCCAGTCACCGACCAGAGCAGTTCGCTCTTTGTAGAGAGTGAATTATATTTTTAACTGTGGAATAGGCCCAGCATAGAAAATTCCAGGAGATGATGAACAAAACCCAAGTAAAATGTAGGTGGTAGATGGCAGGGAGGCCGGGAGGCCGGGAGGCCAGGAGGCCACCCGGTGTCTCTGTGAGGTTTTAACCTGCTCTAATCTCTCCGTGCCCGTCACCGTGTGGCGGTGAGATCGTGTTAGTCACCTACGCGCTAACCTGAAGCCAGGTCGTCCTCGGAGGATGACATCCCAGGCCGCGCGCTCGGCGTGCTGCAGAGGCCGAGAACGCCCCTCCGTCTCAGGCCACTCCAATGTCCCCAATCCACGTGAGACTCGCTCCTTGCGACCACACTGTCACAAGTGGATGTCAGAGTCTAAATGACAAAGATACCCAGAAACGCACCAGCCGGAGCCCGCGCTCCGCTCTTTACACTCACCACGGGGTGACAGCTTACATCCCAGACAAAGGCCTCCTAGGAGCTGGGTGTTCATCGCACACTATTGTGTCTCACACGCCTGCAAGTATGGCAGTCGGAACAGGGAATAGTGAATGCCTGGACATCAAGGGTGCCTTGGATGCACTCCTCGGTCCCATCCAGTGGACTCATTGCACTGTGTGAGTCAGACCAGTGCGGTGCGGCAGAGGCAGCACAGCTAGCGGTGTCGGTGAGCTGACAGGACAGGACTGCTGCCATTCACCAGCAGTGGGGAGACTGGCACTCACTCGCTCCCGTTGGTTAGAGTTGGTGGGTCACACACCGCACAGCCTGATGAACGCTTCACACTGCTAATCGCTAGGGAGGATCAATGCAGCCCTGGCCCACTCGCTCTCCGGAGCAGCTGTGCACAGCATTCCTGCTCCCAGGTTTGATTGGGGTCTGGCAGCCAGAGGTGCACCAGACTATTTGTTGGGAAGGCTTGGAGTTTGGTGGGGGTAGGGCACATACTAATTGAAGACAGAGGAGAGAGATGGAGACAGAGACAGACAGAAGCAGGAGCCCAGCATGGCGCTAGGGATCTCTCAGGAGTCCAGAGTTCTCTCTGGTGGAGTCCTTCCATGTAACCCAACACTTAGAATGAAATTAGCATCTGAGAAGCTGCATCCCTGGAGTAAGTAAATATTCTTCTGTGCTTGCTGAAGCAGCCTGATTCCATGAACATCTAGAACTCCAGACTCTAGGAGGAAAGAGAGAGTTGATAGTAAAGTGATCACCATCATCATAATAATCCTAATAAATAACAGCAACACAGGTGTGTGTTCCACTGAGTCGGTAGACTCTCACCGCTCTCTAGAATCTCACATCCCATCAGAGTAGAACAAAACATTCAACGTAATTGCATAGCTGTGGTTGGGCATGTTTAAAATGTTAACATTGTTCCAAAGGGAAGAACTCTTTGTGCTGCTGAGGGTACCTACCCAGTTTTTCAAGGCAAGGTGATTTTATGATCAGAGAGCAGCTGATGGCACAGAATTCCTCCAGGCATGAACCATGTTTTCTTTGCATGCACTATGTGAGAAATCAACAAACGTACAAATATCCCTTCCTATTTGAGACTATGAAATGACATGCCCATGACTTATACATGGTAGATAGACGTAATTCCCGTCAAATTCCCACATGACAATTAAAAGCAAGGACACCTCGCACCATTCTCTTTAAGTGGAAAAGAGTTTCACAGTTCAACATAAACATACACATCGTCTCTCTTCCTTCCTGACTACTGATTCCCCTACGGGTAGAAAAGCTGAAAAGCAAAACCCATTCAGTCCACAAAGGCAGTCAAACGTTTGACGAGACTGCAAAGTTTGCATAGCCTCCTCTTCATGTCCATGAGGAAACACGTAGTTTTCTACCACTGCCTTTCAGGGGGCAGGGCGGGGGGAGGAGGGGAGGTTCCCTCCCTTGTTGACATAGTATGTTTTTAGAGTAGGAATCGCTTGCGGAGGATTTCCTTCAGCAAATCTGAATTGTCGATTGACCGTGGCCTCTCGGGCCTGACCAGGAGCCCGTGGCCGATGTGGGCTGTGTTCTCTCCCCCCAGACGGTGTCGGTGTCGGTGTCGGTGCTCACGCTGAGCTGCATCGCCCTGGACCGGTGGTACGCCATCTGCCACCCACTGATGTTCAAGAGCACGGCCAAGCGGGCGCGCAACAGCATCGTGCTCATCTGGGTGGTGTCGTGCGTGATCATGATCCCGCAGGCCGTGGTCATGGAGTGCAGCAGCATGCTCCCGGGCCTGGCCAACAAGACCATGCTGTTCACCGTGTGCGATGAGCGCTGGGGCGGTGAGTGTGCGGCGGCTCGCGAGACTCTGCGGAAACGCCATGAAACTCACGGAAGCCATGGCTTGTCGGGTGCAGAAAGCACTGGGAGATGCTTTCAGCATGCCTGACATCTCAGGTTTGCGATTAGTGTCCACTCGAAGCTGGACATGAGGAATTAAGACCATCATCTCCCCAACACCGTCCCCCCACATTCATTCCTAGGATCTCCTTATTGGAGCAATCTCTCCTAGTCTGAAAGCGTCCTTTCGCTTGATCAACATTTTCCCCCACGAGTGCTCCTTGCTGAAATCCACAGTGAACAGCCAGTTGCACAGTCCCTGACGACGTGGAAGCCCACCAGCCGCAGAGCGAGCTGCTCCCTCCCTGTTCAAAACTCCAAACAGTGGTGAGGAGGATCAAGAGCTGCCTGTCAAACTCACACCAGGCCTGCACAGGTGCAGGCTTCACACGAATATTAGCTTATGCAGAAAGCTCATGGGAGACTTTCTTCCAGATAAATAGAAGCTCAAAGCCCCTTGGGTGCCTGGGAAGGGCTGAGGGCACCTTCTGCCCTTTGAATCCAGCCTACCAGCAGCCGCTGGGCCTGGAGCACTGCACAGGGGAGTCATGTGCTGCTCCTGCCCTTGAGCTGCTGCAGTTCCGTCACGGCTTATGTAACCGACAAACTTGAAAGCAGGTGAGGGGTGGGCCTCTCTGGGGGGAGAGAGAGGCTTTTTAAAAAGACACACTGCCCCCCATAGGTCTCCGAGACTTCAGCGGCAGCGGCAGCGCCCGTGGGCCCTGCTGAAACTCCAATGGGGACCCAAAGAGGAAGACAGGGGTTCAGAAGGAGACTATTTGACTCAAACGCAACCGACGCCAGATGACAAACTATGGAATGAAGACCGTAGGAGGCAAAACCTCATAAACACACGAGACACAGAACCCATCAGTATGCAAGAAATGTAACCAGTGAGCACGACTGCAGCTTCCTCAATATCGCAACGCCATCCGCCTTTGCGCCCCGTGTCTGGTAGCTGCCAGGCAGCCACCTAGCCATTGCCCTTGGTTTGATTATAAAATCCTGCCTTCATTGTTCACTTTTCTGGGGTAATGAAAAGCTAACATCCGTGGACATAATAGTATTATCCTCCACTCGTGAAATGGAATGAAAGTCCATGCCAATACCAGGGTCAAAATGAAACACAGCAGAGCAAATGTGTATTCAGTTGAAAGGCTGCTGAGTTACTGAGCCACTATCCATGGCATATGTCTAGGAGTCTCCGTGTCCAGCACTCGATCGTGGTGAAGGTGTGCAGCCAGCAGTGCTCTTCTCATGAACCAGGATAGCTCCCAAAGCATTTAAAAAAAAAAAAGTATTGGGCAGAGCCCATGCCCACCACAGACAGAGCCCTGGGCTCAACTCCTGGCACCCATAAAACAAGAGCAGAATGAAAAGTACAGCCATAAACATATCTGAGAGGTGCTAAAAGATGAATAATAAGCCGTAACACCGTCAGTCAAATAACTGTGTCTAATCAAATGCCCGCTGTGTGCCGGTTCCCCTGGGCACCTAGGATTAATGATGAATTTCAAAGTCACTAAACCCCTGAGGTACACATCCTGAGAAGTGAGCGCATACAGAGAGAAAATGCCCACCCCGCGTTAAAAATCAAAGGCCCCCAAAGCGCCCCTTTGATCAGAAACACAGGCGCCGCGCACCTGTGCACGCGTGGATACAAGCGCTTAAAGAGAAATGGTGTGTCTTCCCAGTCATTCCACACACCATCACAAAGCATTTTATGACCTTGCCCTATGAGGCCTAGACAAGATCAAGTCCCTTCTCCAAATGTACCTAGAACCCAAACCTGGTCAGCTGTGACCAGCCAGTCAGCTAAAGCCACGGCTTAGGAAAGGCTTTTCATTAACGGACACGTGACTTTGAGCAGCCCGTGGCAATGCGAAGGAGGACTGGCCAGTTGCTGCTTTTCTGCGGGGACAGCCGAGGGGCTGAGAACTGGGCATCGGGCCTGGGCACACACGCATGCGCGGAGCAGGAAGGAGCGTGGTTCGGGAGGGAGCTATTTTCTGCTTCTCTGTCGTGTGCTAATGACCTCCTAAGGAAGGCAAATCCACCTCTGAAGGAAATGCTCAGGGAAGTCTCTTTATTTTGAAGAAGAGTTTCGCGTGTGAGCTGATGGTGCCTTTGCTTTCTGTCCTAGGTGACATCTACCCGAGGATGTACCACACCTGCTTCTTCCTGGTGACCTACATGGCCCCGCTCTGCCTCATGGTGCTGGCGTACCTGCAGATATTCCGGAAACTGTGGTGCCGACAGGTAGGTGAGACCGCTCTCTCCTCCGCCTCAGCGGGACGCACTGTGCGCAGAGTCCCCGGGCGCCGGTGCTTCGTGCCTCGCCTTTGCTTTACGCTGACTTTCAGGGAAGGTTCTCAGTCCTGCCTTGAGGACTTGAAATGAATAATACTAAAAGTTCAATCTCAGTGATTATCCGGGCTGATGTTAGTCTAGGAGTAACAGCACTAATTTAGCTTTTTATGAGCAATCATGAATAAAAATCCACTTAATGTGTCCCAAACCTCTAAATCTAAAAGATTGGCTTTTATGAGATTTATATAACACCTCTTAGCCTATGAGTTAAATATGTAATTTAAAAGATCTCATTTCTAGAAAAGCTGAAAAATCAGGCATAACTTAGAATTTTAACCCATGTGCACGACTCTGCATTGGTGTATGGACATTGGTTAGAGAATTCGGCCGCATCTCTGAAGGCTTGTACTCATCCACGCACAGTTCATCCAGCCGGTGCCTTTGTCTATCTGTCCTGCACAAGGCTGCACGCTTCAGTCTATGTCACCAATGCCTGACAATCTAGAGAAATTGCATACGCTCACGCAGAGAGCAAATCCTCCTGACAACAGAAGCACAGGAGGCTAGAGCAAATGAGTACCAAGGGGCCTTTAATCCAGGGCTACGCTGAACCTTGATGACTTGAAGAAAATCACCAGCAAACACAGGAACAGCTTCACAGAGCATAGAGAAGTAAGGAGGCTCAGATTCTTATTTTTAGCAAGCTGAATCTTGAAATGACAGAATGCTTAAAAGAGATGTGCACCTACCTTTTCCGAGATTATTGCCAGGGCCTTGAGAGGCTCAGTTTAGTGGGAAGCCATGCTCTGTCTGTTTCCTCTGAAGTATTCTTCAGCATTAGGGAAGCTTACAGTTGGTTCAACTATCTTACAAACCTCTCATTCAGCCCTGGAAGATGAGCCTTCATTCGCAGCTAAGTCCACCCTTGCTTCTCGAGGCCGTTTTCAAGATCACATTTGACCGGCCGTGTTACTTGTGAACAACCCTGCATGTCTCATAATGACCGAAGCGTTTCTTTGTCTCTATAGTTTCAAAGAAGGCACTGGCCTTACAACCTTGTAAGTGCAACCCGGGGCCAAGCTTATTCAACTTGTATCTCTCAAGTTCTTCAACTGAAACAAACAAACAAACACAAAAACCAACCCACAGCATCGGTAGCGGGGACGGGCGAGACTCTCACACGTGGCTGGTGCTTTCTGATCATGGCAGGAGCATTCTCCAGCATCTCTTCCCGGCCCCGCAGCCAGCCCCGCGCATCTCAGGGCACTCTGCTGGGCTGGTGTCCGGACTTCTCCCAGCTTGGCTGAGTCCTTTCACTGTTGATTATTCTGCTGTGAAACAGACATGCGGTCTACACATGAATTCCGTTCTGAGGGAAGGAAATATTCTCTGGCCCCTTCCAGGGCAGTGGAGATCTTTGATGAGCTGTAGCTAGGTGATCTTGAAAAATCCTATGAAAATGGATGATCCTGGATCCAAGCTGTTATGCCGGCTTTGCCACCCTGCCTGTGTCTGGAACACAGACATTTGCAAAGTATTTATATGATACCAAGCAATTGTCTTTTTACTTAAATTGGTGGTGCTCAGCTCTGCCAAGTCTATACTAAATTCCACATTGCGTTACAGGTTTAGAAGTCATCCACATATTCTTTCTGATGAATTGTTCCAATCAGGACAAGGCACGCCATTCAGAAGATCTGCAGTCAAGCGCCCAGACTATGAAACTAAAATATTTACAAAACAGATTGGAAAGGATGATAGCAAGTTGATCTGAGCTCTTCAGCGGTCACAATAAAGTAAATTAACCCCAAATGGGTAATTATGTAGAATTCTGCTTGAGCAATTCTCAATTTCCAACTGTTAGTATCTTAAACGGAGTTGTATGGTGCCCTGTGAGCCATTAGGCCAGTAAGTGAACCGCCGAATGGAAGGCCTGCCCTATTTGCTTAACACTGCAGAGATGTGTGGAATCTGTTGTCTACTCCGAGACTCTCAGGGCAAACTCTGTGTCCTGGTTTGACTTTCTCAAGAATTTCATGCTTCATTAAAGAGCCAGTTTGTTCTCTGCTAGAACCAGTTATTTAACTTCTCTCTCTGACAATATGACGCAGGAAACTCAATCAGAAAACTACAGGCCCTTCTCTGAAACTCCTGTTTTCAAGAACGTCTTCTTCCCGGCTTGGACTCCTGTGCACGTGTTCTCCAGGCCCACGCCTCTGCATAACACGGTATCTAAGTCTCAGCATGCACAAGAACTTCTGTCAATCTGTGCCGGAGATATCTACTGAGCACTGAAGGGGTAGGGTTGGGGGAGAGGCTCCAAATCCTGTCATTTCAACTTGTGAGAGACCTTGCTCTTCTCAGCCGCTCCACCATCCCTTTCTGTGCTTGCATTCTTCAACGACCTTCCCAGAGAAGTTAACACAGGAATCACAAGCATGGGAGGAGATGGAAAGAATGGCAGGGTTGTACACAGACACAACTCAAAGCACGCACAGAAATAGAGCAGGAGCAGAGGCGAACACAAAAGATGGTACAGAGACACACCTGCGTGTAGTTTCTTTCATATGAGGATTGAAAAACAATCACAGGAAAGCAATAGTTATAAAATTGTGAAGGTTCAGCTTATGATCTACAAACACCTAATCACAGGAAGTGGGGCGGGGGAGGAACAAAGTTGTACTAGAGCAAAGATTGTTATTATATCTATATCTATATCTATCTATCTATCTATCTATCTATCTATCTATCTATCTATCTATCTAACTGTTGAGATCAAACAAGCACCAATCCAAGTGCCTTGTTTAGATTGGGCTGTAATCCTCAATAACACCACTAAGAAAACATTCTTTAAACTGACTGAATCTCATAAAATGGTTTACATTTGTGCCTAAAACTAGATTCCCTATCCTCTTCAGACCAAGTTCTCCTCCAGATACGCAGTTTTCCTGTACAACTTACAAGAGTGAGGCTGAGGAGCTGGGAAACAAAGCCTCCTCTGACCTTGTGAAGGTCATCATCGGAAGCCAAGTGCCAGGCACCTGTATTGGTCCATCTGTAGCCGGTCCGTTTGTCCGTTTGCACCCTGCAGCTGCTGGCAGCTTCTCTGTATGTGGCCCTCTCTGACACTGACAGGGGCCGTCAGAGGCAGAATGCTCCATCCTCCGGGAGCACTCGGTACCAGCCCTGCAGAAGTGCGCATGATCTCCCTGAGATCATGTCAAACAGTTCGAGACCAGTTAGCAGCTTTCACGCTGCGGTTCTCTCCCCAGGGTCACCGCTGCATCTCTTTAGTTGTCTTTAAAAAACAAACTCCTGGAAAAGAGAGGCACAGAAGAGGAAGAGGTCAAGTCTGCCCCACCGCAGGGTGGGTTGGAAGCCTGGGCTGGGTTACCACGGTGCGGGAGCACTCTCTCCACGCCAGAGCCTGCCAGGTGAGGACAGGAGGCCTTGCTTCCTCCAGAAGGGCGGGATTCCGTTTGGGTCAGATGCCTACTCTTCAGGGGTAGAAGACAGCCAAAGAAACCAATCATTTCCTCTACGTACACATCGAAGTAAAATCTGATCCTACCATTAAAGATTATCTGGGGCACTCTGATCCTGTGGTGTCAAAAACTAAACCCAAGCCACCTCTGCTCTGTTCTGGGCGACACGGACCCCTGTGGGTCCTCTTGGTGTGCACTGACACACTCGGGCGGTACGCTCTTACCGCACGGCAGTGCGCTTTCCTCTCAGGAGTCACATGCTGAGCTTCCCGGCTTTCCCCGCGACCTCTTCACGAGCGTGTAACCTCCCTCGAACGCTTTACCCTGCCATCCTCACGGAACCGTCAGAAGAAACGGAAAGGCACAAGCCATGGCACGGAACTGTCCCGAATCCTAGTGAGTTACGAAACACGATGGAAGATGACCGCCGATCCTCAGGCTCGCTGTGTGTGTTTGAACACACCAAACACCAGATCTTCTTAGATCTTTGCCCCTTCTGGTCAGAGGCTTTGTCCATCGGTGAGCCGCTGGGAGTTGGGCTGCAAGGTCCTCTCTCTCCACACAGCAGCAGATGGCAGTAGTGATGCATGGGGAAAAAATCAGTTCAGGGTACTTTCTCAGTTACGTGCTGGGTTTTCCTTCTGTGTCATAAAATTCAGGACTGCAGGATCTAGGATTTCTAACGAAATAGTGCAGCTTACCGCCTCCTAGCCCCGGCCCACCCCCTTTCTTAATTCGCGGTTCTGTTTGACCCTGTCACGATTGTCTCCTGCTGGCCCAGCTTCTCTCCGGTGGAGGGGTACTCAGTCAAGCACTCCTGAAGGGCCTCTCTGCTTTCAGATTCCTGGGGCCTCCTCCGTGGTTCAGAGGAAATGGAAGCCCCTGCAGCCGTTGCAGGCTCAGCGGCCGGGACACCAGCCCAGGTCCCGGGTCAGCGCCGTGGCCGCCGAAGTAAAGCAGATCAAAGCCAGGAGGAAAACGGCGCGCATGCTCATGGTGGTGCTGCTGGTGTTTGCCGTGTGCTACCTGCCCATCAGCATCCTCAACGTGCTGAAAAGGTGAGGAGAGAGCCGTGGCGGCGGCAGCGGCGGCGGCTGCTGCTGCTGCTGCGACGGGAGAAACAGCCAAGTGTCAGCCTGGACACATTGCTCCTCTCAGCGTGCTCAGACTCTGTGCTCTGTCTGTGCAGACTCCTGCAGTAACATCCTTGAGCAAACTGCGAGTCTTTAGGCATAGAAAAAGTTCCAATCGCAAAATGAGCACGCGAACATAATATACAAACAGACAGCTTCCACCACACTGGACAGTTGTCTTCTTTGAAGAAGTATCTTTGGGACCATTGAGCTATTGAGCTATTGTTTCCAAGACAAACATGAAATAATCCTTTTTAAAGAATAAAAACAGGTCAGGCCCCAGTGGCTCACGCCTGCCTGTCAGCCCAGCTACTCAGGAGGCTGAGATCTAAGGATTGCAATTCAAAGCCATCCCCAATCGGAAAGTCCATGAGACTCGAACCTCCAATTAACCACCAAAAAGCCAGAAGTGGACCTGTGGCTCAAGTAGTAGAGTGCTAGCAAAACAGCTCAGGGGCAGTGCCCAGGCCTCGAGTTCAAGGCCTAGGACTGGCAGGCACACACACACACACACACACACACACACACACACACACACAAGAATGTTTAGCTTTCAGTTGTGAACATTAAACATAAATGAATTATTGCAAGTCAGTGATGTCATGGAAACAGCTCACAACGCATACCCCTTCTCTCCCTGCCTTTTCCTCCTTCCTACTTTTCAAAACCCTACCTGTCAGTAATGCTTCCCTGAGGCTACCCAATTAAATACCTTTCTCTCCAAAGAAAATAAATATTTGCCTAAGGGAAAAGTCTTTGATTTAAAAAACATTTTTAGAGGTTTTGAGCATTCTGCTCTTTTCCAAAAAGTAAAAAATAAAGTTGGAAAAATCATCTTAAAAATAGTTATTTTCTTCATATATAAATACATATTATATATATATATATATATTTTGGGGGGGGGGTCTGGTCGTGGGGCCTGAACTCTGGGCCTGGGCGCTGTCCCTCAGCTCTTCAGCTCAAGGCGAGCACTCTACCAGCTGAGCCACAGCACCACTTCCGGCTTTTTCTGCTTATGTGGTGCTGAGGAATGGAACCCAGGGCCTCATGCATGCAAGGCAAGCGCTCTACCACTTGAGCCACTTCCCAGCCCCTCTCCATATAGTTTTATAAGAAAGGAGTTTGTCTAAATTTGCCCAAGTTTGTCACGTTTGCCTTTTCAGTCTGCCGCTCACACAAGCACAGGTTCAGCCTTCCCTCGGAATGTAACTTCAATTGTCTCACTCGAGTACAACCTTCGCAAAGTACGGGGTCTCTGTAGAACGTCCAGAAGTTCCTTTCTATCCCCTCTGTTGCATCCTGGAAAACAAACAACAAACAAGCACGCAAATCAGAGGTGGGGGAGGGGAGCGGGCAGGAGGGGCGGGGTCAGTGGGGGTCCAGCCGCGCTTGGTGGGGGTGTAATCATGGAAAAGTCGCACCGGCCCACCTCCGATCCCTGTCTCCGCTTCCTTCCTGCAGGGTCTTTGGGATGTTCGCCCACACGGAGGACAGAGAGACCGTGTACGCCTGGTTTACCTTCTCACACTGGCTGGTCTATGCCAACAGTGCTGCCAACCCAATTATTTATAATTTCCTCAGCGGTAAGCCTGCGCGGTTTTCCCCAACCCGGGGGATGCTGGTGGGGCTGGGAGGCTGGCAGGGCAGGAAAAGCTTCGGCAAGGCTTTGAATCATGCTTTGCCCTGACTCGATTGGCATTCAACATACTGGTTCTTGTTGTCTGCTCTGGATTTTCGAGACAGGGTCTTACCATATAGTCCAAACAGGCCTCCAACTCAAAATCCTTCCGTCTCAGCTTCCAGAGTGCTGGGACTACAGGTGTGCACCACCATGCCTGCCGGTGGAGGAGTTTCTTCCTTTAGGAAATGGAATATTCACTACCTAACTCATCAGAGAAAACTTCCCAAGTTAGTTTATCCTAGTAAAACCCACACAGTGGTAAAACACATGGCAAGCGGAAAGTTGTGAGACATGAATAGCAACCAATCTCCCATGGCGTAGCTTGGCATTATGGTTGAGGATGTTTTAAATGTGTCAGCTTGGCTTTGGTGTATTGTCCTTTTACCCAATCACGTAGCCTAAAGAAGGTTGAGCCAGACCGTCTCCACGCAGAGGTGTTTCTCCTGCGGGTCCTGCTTACCTCAAGCATTTTCTCTAACCACAAACGTACCGTGTGGACAGAGAGACATCCACTTACGCATGTAGGATTTACTCAACCCAAGGCATTATAGACTCAATAGAATCTTAACATTTCAATAACAATTGTTATATTTACATTTGCCTCGTTGATTTTAGAACTGTGTTTTCATTAGCCACATTTTTTGGGGGGGGAGCATTTTTCTTTCTCTACTCTATTTCCTTCTTGGATTTATTTCCATGTAGATAGCAATTCTGCATGTTGAAATAGAAGTTCATTTTATTACACATTTAATCAATTATCTGCATCTTCCAACTCCATTTCTTGGCTTTCTGGTTGAGCCAGTGTTTTGCTTTGTTTTGTTGATTTAGAGGATGCATTGAGCAGCTGGTAGATTATAAGTTATAGTTTCTCAGGAAAGAGAAGTTCTTGGCGGTATTATTGCACATTAAGGTAACTGCAGGTGACAATATCATACTACATAATTTAAACAGATAGCAAGACAGAACTTGAAATGTTTTTAAAGAAAAGAGACATGTTTGAGAACCTGGGCTATATTTAGCCTGATTCAAGCAGGCACAAACTGATGTATGAAGCAACCTTCACGTGGTATTTCATTAAGAGGCATGCCTTTTACTTTTTTTCTTTTGTTTTTTTTTTTTGTTGGTCGTGGGGCTTGAACTCTGCGCCTGGGCACTGTCCATCAGCTCTTCAGCTCAAGGTGGGCACTCTACCACTTGAGCCACACTTCCAGTTTTCTGGTGGTTCATTGGAGATAAGAGTCTCATGGACTTTCCTGCCCAGGCTCCCTTTGAATTGCAATCCTCAGGTCTCAGTCTCCTGAGTAGCTGGGATGACAGGCGAGAGCCACTGGTGCCCAGCTAGGAGCCTTATTCTTGTAGGTCATTATTTCATGAGCTTACCACGCTTCCACACACACACACACACACACACACACACACAAATGAACTTCCTTTTCCCATTTCTCTCCATCTGCATGGTTAGTTCGGCTTGCTTGGGCCCTGCTTTATCCTGCTTCCTTTTTCTTTCTTTCTCCCTGGTTTCCCAGGCAAGTTCCGGGAGGAATTCAAAGCTGCGTTTTCTTGCTGTTGTCTGGGCATTGGCCACGGCCAGGAAGACCGGCTGGCCCGGGGTAGGACCAGCACCGAGAGCAGGAAGTCCCTGACCACGCAGATCAGCAACTTGGAGAACTTGTCCAGACTGTCAGAGCAGGTGCTGCTCACCAGCCTCAGCACGCTGCCGGCCGCCAATGGGGCGGGCCCACCGCAGGACCGGTAGAGGAGACGCCGGTAGAGGAGACACGGAGACCAGGAGACGCGAAGATGCGTCCTCCCGTGACCCTGGCCACACCACGCTTTTTACAAAAACAAACATCTCTGTACATAGTTTTGCTATCCCCGGGATCAGAGGCTGAAACGATTATTGATCTTTTTTTCTTTTTTCTTTTTTAATTTATCATTGCTTTTTGGAAATTTCAAAAAGAAGAAGCCAGTGGAAAACCACTTCTCGATTTTTGGCTTCCACACGTGAGCAGTTCAAGCTTCGGCTCAGCTTCTTTGAGGCTAGTTCAAGTGTTAAAATCTGCGTCAGTGAAGTGAATCCTTCTCATTCCTTTTATAATGCTTTGCTGTTTTTAAACTTACCTGTTTAAATTGGCCATTCAAGGTTGTCAAAGGTGATTTAATGATTTGCTCTTGGCTGCAAAAAGAAGCAGCCATTTGAATTCTCAGTTATCAGTAGACATATGCTAGTCGACTTAAATCTTTCAAAAAGTCAAGGACTGTCATTATACAGTGACTCCCGAGGGAAGATTTATATACAGAAGCTTACTATTCACAGAGATCCAAGAGCTATCTTTGCACATCACCCATGACAGATTCCATTAAACTTTGTTTTCCACGAATTCCACCCCCCAGTCACTCAGTTTCCTCAGGTCTGAAGCTGCCTCGTCTCTTACGTTTCTTGTCCAACACACACTCAGTAAGGCTCCATGTCAAAGTAAAAACTGGGTAGAAACTGCTAGAACGCACATGAATTTCCAGCTCTGAGGGAGGGCTTGAACACACAGTCGGGAAAATCCTGCGTCGTAACATTCTCCTAACCCACAAGCAACATTGCCTGTCTGCAGAGTGCACCTCTGTGCTGGCGGCAGGGACCGTGGAGGGTGCCTGCAGGCTTGTCCCCATGCTCTGAGGCGGACATGGGGACATAGCTTAGTTCTGGTCTAGGGCACAGTGACCGGTTTGACGCCCCTGCCATGACCCACAGTGTGGCAGGCGGGCACAGATGCCCGGAGGGTCCTTGCTCGGGGCGAAGCAGCCAGGCAACCAGGGAGAGCAGCCGAGCTGCTAGGCTCTCCTCCTGTCCTGCCACAGAGCCGGGTCTGTGGCCGTGGCTTTGCTCCGGGCTGGGGGCCGTGGCCAGGCGGTCGGAGAGACAGAGCTTTGCTCTTTCTTAGCTTCCAGAAGTAAAGAGAACACGGTGTGTTTGGTGTGCACGTGAAGCATGGAGTTCAAAGCACTGATGCTTCAAATCTGAGGAAATCTGAAGAAAATGCACCATTTTTCGGATTCAGACATCCTCCGCCCCGTGGCGTTCAGGGAAAGAGGTTCTCTGTGCTGGAGATCGCAGCCAGGCCTTGCTTGTGCTAAAAGGAAACACTGACCCAAAACAGAGCGGTCTTCTAGAGATGTACCTCTTCATTTTTCCAACTCTTTGTTCTCATCTCAGAGAAAAACACTACAAAATTATCCGCAATTTGTTCTCTGTCTCAGAATGTAGGATTTTATTACCTTGTGCCTTTTAGTACTCAAGGAAAAGCCCGTCTCGTGAGGCTCTCCAAAGCCACACTGCAGAGTCTCAGCGCTCGCCCATCAAAGCAAGACTTTATAAATCTCTCCTTTCTCCCCGTGGACATTCGAGAATATTTTTTTTTGTCTCACGTATGCTGCATGAAAGGAGAGCTGCAGTTTTCAGAGTGCGATGAAAGTGAGCGCTTTAATTCGAAGGTAACTTCGAATTACGTTAGTAATATGCCTTAATAGCCAAGTAACAGGTTAGAGTCAGAGTAAATAGTATTTTACACTTTATATGTGTAGTCCTTGTTATTGACAAAAAACAAATGAGAGGCTGTGGGAGGGTTAAGGGGAGGGGGGAGAGAGCGAGAGGAAGAGAGGGGAGGGAGCAGGAGACCAACTCCGAGAGGAGGCGTGTGTGGGACAGACCCCGTCAGAATTCATTTGCTCTAAACCAGTGATGTCCGATCTCCCCGGAGCTTGTTAAACGGGCAGACTTCCACGCTGCCCATGCCTGCCCAGCCAGCAGCTCGAGCCGGGGTGGGACTGTGTGTGCTTAGCAGCCTTCCTGGATTTCAAAGTGTTTCGTAAGATCTGAACCACTGTAACTCTCCAGGCCTCCGCGCATCAGCCCATGCAAAATAAGGTTTCTAACCACACAGCTCTCTACCACAGAGACCACCGCCGTCTCTACCATCAAGCTAGTTGGAGATCTGAAGGAAGACCCTGTAATCCGCCATGTCTTGCTCAGAGATTCTGGCTTGCAGCGGGAGGGCCTCGAGGCTGGAAGTACAGATGCAGGATGGTCACAAGGCCCGGGAGGCTCTGTGGCGTGATCTGGAGAACTGCAGACCTACAGTGTCTCCACCCCTAATTTCCTCTGCTCAACTTTGAGTTTTGTGGAAGCAGATAGCTTTGAAGAATGCGTATTTCCCAGAAGGAAAACACGACAAACACCACCACCATGAGGGAAGTACAAAGCCAGGCCCCGGGCTACCACCCACGCGGGGACCCAGGGATTGTGGGAGAGCCCAGGACTCCGTCTGCTTTTCTTCCTAAGACAAATGGTGATGGAGTGGCAGGCTGTAAATTCTGTCAGTGTTACTGGGAAATCACAAGGGTCAACCTCTTACCTCATTATGTGCCAATAACACAAATGAGAAGACTTCGGATCAGATGTCTGTGTTGGAACTTAATTATGGTATCCATTGAATATGTACCTCTCATTTTTTTCTGCTATATTTCAATGATTTAATGTAAGATGTCAATGTCACTGAAATTTTGTTATAAGTAACAATGCTCTCATGGTTTTATGTGCTAGAGAACATATTTGAACTTCACTCTTTTTTAGATTTCTACAAAACCATTAAAGGTGGGTGTTTTACTTTGTACAATCCTGGGGAAAGGTGACCCTCGCTTTGTGAAGAAAAAAAGAAATACTTAAAACTTTTCCAAATTTGTAGAGATCTTGGATAGAAGATACCTGTTGCAAATTATTGAGAAGTTGGTTGCAAATGGTTTTAGGGATAAAGATACTAAATTCTGCTCTCAGCATATACTGTTTTTATGGATATGGTAGCTATGCTGGTAACATCTGAACTTCAACAATCTGAATATTTTTAAATATGAGATAATAGAATGGCAAAAACCTGACTTGTTTCTTGACTCAGTTGGAGTCAAGAGACTAGCGTAACAGTATCCTTTTCACATTCCATTTAAGTCATGACAGTAGCCAACTGCATTTCAACGAAGTCAGACTCGCCATTGTAATAAAAGCGGTGTTAGAAGAGATGACTTTTCTACTTCCTACAAGCCACGAGACAAACACAAAAGAGTTTCACTAGGTTATGTTCCAATAGTTCTCAAATTGCATGAAGCAAAAGACCTTTAGAACCAATATATAAACAGGGAGATCGTATTCATTTAGGTCTATCTATTCCGTTACCATGGGGAGCACCAAGTACAAAGTACAAAGGCATGAAAAGTGCTACTTTCTCCAAAGCTCACTGGGAATCTTTTTCTACACAACTACTCCTACTAAAAGCGGGGGCTAGGGCGAAGACCCTCCCTCCCTAATTTGCCACGTATTTGTATTCTTTTAAATTTTCTTCAGAAGCTTTGGAGTTCAAATGTCTTCTCGGTTTCTCACGCGATGTGTTTCTGTAACTTGTATCTATGTATGTACCATGCCAACTGTCCGACAATTACATTGCAAAAGAAGTGCTCTGTGCCTGGCTGGTCCGTGTCTCGATGGCGAAGTCTCTGGTCAGATCCCAGATGCCCACACATGCACGCCCATGCCCACACATGCACACCCACGCACACGCATGCACACCGTGAAGATGCTCAGTGGGAGAGGGCCATCGTACTGGCCAGAACCACACTGGGGACAACATGGTCACACTCGCTCTGCCAGCTCTAGTGTCTGAAGAATCCTGCTGGTGTTAGTTGGAGCTGGCTACTTGCTCATCATTAGTGTCAGATCTTTGCAGGTAAGGGCTGGATGAAGCCCTCTGGGGCAGTACTTGATATTCAAACATTTTTTCCCCCAATAAGTTTATATAACCAGGGCTAATCATGATACAAAAGATTTTTAATATTGTTTCTAAGAGGAGATAGCATAATAAAGGTCAAGACAAATACCAAAATATTTCATGAAGGTTAGGTAACATCACCCACATAGCTTTTATCTGAGAATGAGGTTTAACCAGCTTTTTTAAAATTTGAATTTTATTATAAAGGTGAGGTACAGAGGGGTCACCGTTACATAAGTCAGGTAATGAGTGCAGTTCTTTTTGAACCGTGTCACCTCCTCCATCATTTTATCCCACCCCTCCTCTGAGCTCTGAGTTCATTTCCAACATACTGTCTAGAGAGTGTCACTGTTGCATTGGTTCACCTGGGATCCCCTCCCCTCCCCCACGTCAGCTAAACTTACACACAGGACAGAGGGCACAGAGATCAAAACCAGAGACCACAGGGAACAAAACAAAGAGGGAGGCGGGAGAAAGAGGGAATCATCTGATTATGACTTAGAAAGTGATGACCCTATGATCTTCACTTTATATCCGGTTATGTAAATACCTCTCATTTGCATGGTCCTTATGGATAATGTGCAAAATATTCATCCTGGAATGGGAAAGGCACCACTAGAGCATTACAAGCACAGGGGTCCAGAAGAGGTAGCATTGCCAGTGTGCCTAGCTATACCTGACCAGCCGGCCTGGGAGAGGCTCCCGCAGTGAATATCCCTTTGCTACCTCGGTCTCTGAAAGGTTTCCTTTCTTCATCTAGCTCACTTTCTTATCTTCAGCTGCATAGCTGCTTCTCTTCACTCCTGCAAATGTCTAGGTTCCATACTTCTGCTATTCTAGAGACTGTCTCCTGAGGTATTCCCCCCCCATCTTTCTCGCTCTTGCTCACTCTTTCTTTCTCTCTCTCTTCTTCCTTCCTTCCTTCCTTCCTTCCTTCCTTCCTTCCTTC